CAGTGCACGTGACCTGGACACTTAAGGTAAATACTTCTATCTCAGTAAGAGTTTGCTGAGATAGGAACACACAAGTGGATATGTGAGTCTGTTCTTGATGCTTTAATTTCCCTCATATTGATTCTCCATACTGTGGAAATTCAAGAAGAGGAAGGCATATTAGATCAAATAAGCCATTTCCCTCCTGTAGGAGATTGTCTCACACACTTATTATAGAAACTAGGCCTGGAGAGCCTCTGATCCATTCCCTTCCACAGTCTTCCATTTCTTTCTTCACTTCCCTCCTTATCTTTTCATTATCCTCACGTTTGTGTTATTGTTTTAATAGCTAGTTGAAAGTGCATCTTTGATACTGAGCTAAAACATCATCTCTGCTTTTGAGCCATAGCCAAAAGGCTCCAAAGGCTCCATTAGGTTCTGCTGCTGCCTCAGGGCCAGATCTTTACTACTGGTTGTCAGAGAAACAGCAAGCCAGCTCTGCAAACAAAACTGACAAAGCTGTCCACCTTTGTCAGGCCTCAAATAGAAGCAATGTCTCAAAAAACAAAGAAGGGGGGGGGGGGGGGGGGGGGACAAAGGAAAAAATATATATCCAGCTGGCTAGCTATCTCAACATATCAACAGTTTGTAAAAATTCTTCTGACTGGTCTTATGATCTGTTTTCATATTTTTCTTTTTGTCAGTATGTTCAGTCAAATAACCACTGCCTATACTTCAGGCTTGGGGAATGTTGTTTCATTTTCTCATTCTATCTTGGTAGCTTTTCGAAATTTCCACAGATTTGGAAACACTGCAGAGGGAAAAAGATTTGCTGTGATTACCTGTTTACCTCTCTGCTCCATTTCCAAAGTTGGGGAAAGTTTACAGCTTTAGGGTAGTGAGAGGGAAATTTTCATATGATAGATAATTCTTCACTGTCCATGCATACATGCACCCTGTGGGAGGAAAAAGTGAGAAATGGGGAGCAGGGAGAACAATTCTTCACCTTTTTATTTTTTTTTTCATTTGGCTTTCTCCACTGAAAAGGACATTGGAGGGGGTGAAGAGGAAGGGGCTGAAGGTGATAAGGGGACATAGCAAACTCAAGCATTCAACTTCATTTTACCCAGTAGGGTTAACTATTTTCAAGGAATAGCTTCTTGCAGCGTACACATATGTACAGCATCTTGCCACTGAGGAGAAAATTGTCATGTCATTAGGTTAGTTCCATGTATTTATTTTATTATGTTGGTACTTTGGCCTTTTAAGAACATGCATCTTAGTTTCATCTTAAATTTTCCTCCTCACTTCATTCTCATTGCACTGACAACTGCTTATTTATCCTCCTTTTAAAGGTCTCATTTATCAAGAACAGTTTTTGCAATGAAGGGTGGAAAGAGTCTCTATACAAATGAGATCATGCTTCCCTTGAATATGTTTTCCTTGATGACTTATATGTCATGCTAGCTCCAGTTCCCTTTTCCAGGGAGATTTTTTTTTTTTTTTTTAAAGTGCTTCACATTACATAGAATTTGGGTGTGGGGTCTGGCCTCTCTATTTGCTGAACTTGTCTTCTGCAGCCAGGGCTGCATCATTCTCAATTCATTCACTGTGGTCATCGGCAGTCCGAGAGCAGGAAACAAGCCCTGGATTGCGGAGATCTTGATGGCAATGTATGCAAAGCTCAGGCTGCGGCTTGATTTCCCCAGTCACAGGTTCACCTAGCTGGGTGAGAAAGGAGGAGAGGCTTGTTTTGACCAGCCTGGTTGGCGCTTCGGAACGGTGCTCTCTGCCCGAACGGTATGCTCTCCTGGCAGTTTTCCCTGGTGGTTTTTATTGCTTCCTTTTCAACAGAGGGACTCTGTCAAGGCTGCTTAGGGTGGCTCTTCCTCATATGTGCAATTTCCTGCTTAGAGGAGGAAAGAGCTGCTTGAGGCAGTCTCTGGGCTGGTCTGCTCTGACATTGGAGTGGCTGGGTTTAAGCACACCCTGTCCTGGCAGGAAGAGTTTTCCTCTCACAGAAGTGCTTGTGACCAAAAGTAAAACAATTGCAAAACATTCCAATTTAGCCTAAGCAGCTCTTCCAAGGTATTTGCAAGTCACTGATTAATTAATGCTCGGAGATTTTAACGGACCTGAACCAAAGACACAGCCAGTCAGTTCATATGGGGCTCCAAGGACAGGCGTGCTTCTCTTAACTCTCTAGCTACGTGCAGGCAGCAAGTCAAGCAAATAGATGAAACAAATATAGTCAGCCCGAACACTGTGAACTGATAGGAAAATTATTCAGGAAATCTGCCTTCATAGGCCTATCTCTTAGGGCTTTATTTGTCCCATTCTGATGTCGCTGGGTTGTATTTTTTTTTGAACAGAAACCAGATCAGGGTGAGTTTTTCAAAGCTTTTAGGGTTGGCTTAAGAAGTGCTGGCTGAGGCTCAGTTAAAATTCAGGGAACCAACAGCCTTGAATAGGCAATACAAAGGAAGCCAGACCCCACATTCAGACACTAACCATACTGATTCAGTGTAGGGACCAAAACAATTGAGAATCTCTAGATTTTACAAAAATATTACTTTAAGCTAATATTGCTCTGAAATTACCTTGTAGAAATAAACCCATTTTCAAGATTGCAAAACTGAACAAACTGTAAAGTTTTCCGTGTTTGCACTGGTGGCATATAATTCTACCTGTCAGCTTCTTTCCTTTACAGCATTCACACCAACAAGATATCACAGTTCCCTCATCATGCTACTAAATAACTAGATTAATAGAATATTTTAACGTCTTCATGCTTCTTAGGGCTTAGGTGCTAACACGTGATCTGTACAAACCTCTGCATCAGCCTATAATAGATATATTTCTCCATTGGGTAGCATTATGCATTTTTTTCAGACTTATGTGATTAAACATTTTTTTGTAATTATTAAGATAAATGGATACCTTACATACATGACAATGGGAGATAAACTTTCAGCCCAATAAGTGTTACTTGAATTCTAGCATTGTTAATGTGGACAGTAACTTTTTCAATAAGGAAAAATAAGAAAAATAAAAAAAGAAGAGCAGGTATCATTAAAGTGGATCAGTTACTGCATTTACTATGACTGAATGCTCTCTCTTAAATTAAACTCCCCAAATATTCAGCATTTAGAGGATTATACCTAGTTTATTCTACATAAACAAAGAGCAGAAGGTGCCCCTAAGGCTGCACTATTTAAAGGATATCCAGTACTGAAAGGTCTCCCATCAGTCTATGCATGGGGTATACGGTTGGCGTGTGTACGTTGGGGTAACAACATCCTGTGCAGCGTTGTGTTTCTGGTCTCTTCTGACAAAGAGACCACATGATTGCATGCATGTCTCAGGCCTCAATTAGCATTGTATCCGTAATGGTTACTGCTGGAGCGTCTCTTATATTTTTATCCTGCAGACAAAGCACTGCATCAGGCATAACCTCCTGAACGTGCCATTACACCGTCCTTTTGAAGTACACATGTGGCTGGTAGGTCTGTGTCCAACTGATACGTACCTGGTCTACGAGAAACATTAGGGATATGTTCTGTAAGCCTGGCTCTGCAGCGTACCCGGTGATAACATGTACTGCAGATAACGGTGAATGGACTCTGTTTTGAAGGCATAATAAGAGGATTGTAGGCTTATGGGTTTGTTGCCTGGAAGTAAGTGGACAGAGACACCTTGTTTAAAACCCTTCTCACACACGCGCACATTTGGTGGTAGCTGATTAAAAAGGCAGCACAGCAACAGTTTGCTCAGCAGCAGGTAAAGAAGCTTTAAAATGAACTGATACGCTTCCATTAAAGAAATACCATGTTTTACTAGGCATTTACAGAGCTTATGACACAAGGCATGTAAACTGCTCTGTAACATTCACCAGGGACTCAGCTGCTGAGCTGTTTAGATACACACCAGCCACCTAGCTGGGTGGGAGCATGGGATAAAAGAAGGAGAGGAAGGAGGAATCTCCAGCTGTTGGGCTCTCAGAGTACCAGATAAAGGTAAAGGAGTCTCAAATTAACAGTTTCCAAATCTATTCGGTTCATTTTTCAGTGTGTTTGAACTGAATCCCTGCTGCACAGCAGGCATCCCGTAAGAGAGCATAAAGGGTTTCATTCCTCCAAAGCCCTGTCACGAGATGGGAAAACATAAGTGGTAGAGACTAGGCAAGAATTGGTTTAATTGCAGCCTGGTAACAACTGAAGCAGTCTGGTCGCTGTAGGGGGAGCGATTAAGATGGGTGGGCGCTGCAATTATCAGCATGTCCTGGCTTTGTCACGTATTTCAATCTTAATGCTAAGGTGCTCCTGCCCAAAGTCCAGCCTTTAGTCATCTGTGTACAGCTTTACTTGTTGAAATCGCTTCTGAGTGGGCCAGTAGACTGGTACCCTGGACTGGGGTTCTGATGAAATGGTGGTTCTTTGCATGGCTGTTCTAAGCACGTCTTCACCTCTTTGCCTCAGCGTCCTCAACATGCAGAACGAATTTAATGATGTTTCATTTGTAAAACACTTTGGTAGCTGCGGGTGAAGAACACTGGAGAAGAAAGACGCATTATTAAAAAGACCTACCTTGGGATTATATTCACATAACAAACAGCTGAGAAATGAGCTTGATACTTTAACACTATAGCTGAACTGACTTGCAAAGTAATGACGTGGTATCTTCCATTTCACTAAATGTGTTGAATTGGAAGCTTTGCACCTTAAAAAAAAGAGGGGGGCATAGTTGCACTGCTGAACTCTCTCCCATATTTATGGACATAAAAGATGTATTTATGAGTCTATGGCTTGTGTGCATACTTGTCCGTACATGCAGAATGAAAGCTTGAATTTCCTCAAGTCTCCTCAGGTGTCTAACAGGAACTTGCACCTTGAGCTATTAGCACAGCTGGGACCACCAGGTTCACCCTTATTCTTAACTTCCAGCAGAATATTAGCCTGCCGCTTGACCACTGAGAATTTAATGAGTTAAATCGTCTGGAGGAAAGAGTCATTTGTTCATATCCAGATTTCTGTTAAAGATTTCCTGTGGATCTCAGCCTGTCCCCTCTACCACAATGTACTTGGTTAATTTGGCCTTTTTTACATTCCTTTTTTGGCAACTGCCTGACCTGATCCTCCTACCTATGTTAGTGATATCCTTAAAATAAGAACCTTGCCAGCCAGTTTATGGCCCTTGCAGGTTCATTCCCACCCAATAAAGGCAACACTGCTATCAAAAGCCAATGAGGTGTGAAAGGCCGTGCTGACAAAACTGAGGGAGCTCTGCAGAAGCTATCCAGTGTGGCTTACATTTGAGCTTGAGTTAGAGCTTGTTCCCAGGAAGACTTCAGTGCAAGT